CTTTGTTTAATAGAGCACAAAAAATTGTACAAGATGGCTATGTTATGTTTCTCTCAACAAAATATTGCGGAAGCTATTATGTCTCAAAGTTGTTGGAACCCGAGTCATACTGTAGAAGGCTGCAGTATGGGGTCAAACAAATGACTATATCTCCACAAGTATTGCATCAGCACACGTAACACTTTACCAATGTTCACTGGGGACATGTGTGCATGTTCACACAAAATTTCATCGAAATCTGTGATGGTCGAGCGGGGCACTTTTCTGAAATCAGACTTGACATGGAATGACTAAAAAGTTAAAGAGAAAAACAGCTAAAAAGCGGCTACATTATTGTTAGTTGTGAAGTCGTGTCCGACCTATTGTGACCCCATGAACAACTTTTCTCCAGGCCTTCCTGTCCTCTACCATCCCCCGGAGACCATTTAAGCTCACGCCAACTGCTTCAGTGACTCCATCCAGCCATCTCATTCTCTGTCATCCCCTTCTTTTGCCCTCAATCGTTCCCAGCATTATGCTCTTCTCCAGTGAGTCCTTTCTTCTCATTAAGTGACCAAAGTATTTCAGTTTCATATTCAGGTTCTGGACTTCTAAAGAGCAGTCAAAGTTGATCTCCTCTAGGACTGACTGGTTTGATCGCCTTGCAGTCCAAGGGATTCGCAGGAGTCTTTTCCAGCACCATAGTTCAAAGGCCTCAATTCTTTGACACTCAGCCTTCCTTATGGTCCAACTTTCACAACCATACATTGCAACTGGAAACCATAGCCTTTTGACTATACACACTTTTGTTGGCAGGCTGATGTCTCTGATTTTTGGAATGCTGTCTAACATTGCCATAGCTTTCCTCCCCAGGAGCGTCTTTTAATTTCTTGGCTGTAGTTCCCATCTGCAGTGATCTTGGAGCCAGGAAGATAAAATCTGTCATTACCTCTATTTCTTTCCAATCTATTTGCCAGGAATTGAGAGAGCCGGCAGCCATGATCTTAGTTTTCTTAATGTTGCATTTCAAGCCAACTTTTGCATCCTCCTCCTCCTCCTCCTTCACCCGCATCAGAAAGCTCTTTAATTCTTCTTCACTTTCTGCCATTAGAGTGGTATCATCTGCATATCAGAGGTTGTTGATATTTCTCCCAGCAATCTTAATTCCAACTTGTGATTCATCTAGCCCCAACTTTCTCATTATGTGCTCTGCATATAAGTTAAATAGGCAGGGCGAAAGAATACAGCCTTGCCGGACTCCTTTCCCATTTTTGAACCAATCAGTATTTCTGTGTCCAGTTATCACTGTTGCTTTCTTGACCCGCATATAGGTTTCTCAAGAGACAAACAAGATGGTCTGGTACTCCCATCTCTTTAAGAACTTGCCACAATTTATTGTGATCCACACAATCAAAGGCTTTAGAAGCAGAAGTAGATGTTTTTCTAGAACTCCCTAGAGTTATTTGAGACGACCTCGAAACCTGACAGTATGTTGGCAATTTGATCTCTGGTTCCTCTGCCTCTTCGAAATCCTGCCTGCACTTCTGATAGTTCTCGGTCCACATATTGCTGGTGCCTAGCTTGTAGGATTTTGAGCATAACTTTGCTAGCATGTGAAATGAGTGCAATGGTGCGGTAGTTTGAGCATTCTTTGGCATTGCCCTTCTTTGGAATTGGAATGTAAACTGACCTTTTCCAATCCTGTGGCCACTGTTGAGTTTTCCAATTTGCTGGCAAATTGAGTGTAGCACTGCATCGTCTTTTAAATTTTGAATAGCTCAGCTGGAATATTGTCACCTCCTTTGTTGTTGCACAGACTTCCTAAGGCCTATTTGACATTCCAGGATGTCTGGCTTGAGGTCTGAGGCCACCCCATCCTGGTTATCAGAGATGTTAAGCTCCTTCTTGTATAGTTCTTCTGTGTAATTTTGCCATCTCTTCTTAATCTCTTCTGCCTGTGTTAGGTCCCTGCCATTTTGGTCCTTTATCATGCCCATCTTTGCATTAAATGTTCCCTTCATATCTCCAATTTTCTTGAAAAGATCTCTAGTCCTCCCTATTCTATTGTTTTCTTCGATTTCTTTGCACTGTTCATTTAAGAAGGCATTCTTATCTCTTCTAGCTATTCTCTGGAATTCTGCATTTAATTGGGGTGTATCCTTCTCTTTCTCCCTTGCCTTTCGCTCCCCTTCTTTCCTCAGCTATTTACTAAGGCTTCCTCAGACGTCATTTTGCTTTCTTGCATTTCTTTTTCTTTGGGATGGTTTTAGTTGCTACCTCTTGTACAATATTGCGAACCTCTGTCCATAGTTCTTCAGGCACTCTATCAGATCTAATTCCTTAACTCTATTTGTCATCTCTACTGTATATTCATCAGGGCTAGGATTTAGTTCATACCTTAATGGCCTAGTGCTTTTCCTTACTTTCTTCAATTTAAGTCTAAATTTTGCAACAAGAAGCTCATGATCTGAGCCACAGTCAGCTCCTCATCTTGTTTTTACTGATTGAATAGAGCTTCTCCACCTTTGGCTGCAGAGCAAATAGTCAATCTGATTTCTGTGTTGACTGTCTGGTGATGTCCATGTGTAGAAACATCTCTTGGGTTGTTGGAAAAGAGTTATTATACAATGTAGCATATAGCAAGTGACTGTTAATCTGAGGCACATAGCTCATATCTACTTCTGTTATCTGAAATTAAGATATGAAAATAAATGTTTGCATAAGCAAGGAAATAGAGTCATTTAGAAGGGCTATACATTTCCACCTAAAATTTGTAGATCATGATGTAAAATATTTTTTTTGTAATTTTTTACATTTTTTGCACAAATTATTTTCACAGAAAATTTTAAGTGTATAGAAATGTGTTGCTTCATAAAATTGACACAAAGATAACATACAAGGATAAATACATCCTTGAGAGGGCGGTGGTTCCACTAAGGTCTGCTTCCTTCTCAAGAAATCATTAATGGATCCAACATGGTTTATCCCATCTTCTTTTTTTTTTTAATTTTAAAAAACAAAACTTTATTCATTCTTTAAAAAAGTATTTAAATGCTAAATGGTTTATCCCATCTTCAATCCTTCCTGTTTAGGGACCACTGTGTCCTAATTAAAGATTAATTTAATCCAATTTAATTTTTGAATTGGATCTATTTTCTGGATTATATCACTCCAAGACTAGGTCCAAAAGGCAAGTCCAAAAAAGCCCTAACATATTTTTTCTAAAAAATTTATATTCACAAATTAGTATTCTGTTGATGTATGATACAGCAATTCTATCTTGTGACAGAGAAAATATAACTTTGTTCCTTTCACATACTACAGTATTGTGTAGTATGTTACTGACAAAACAATGAGATTGAGTAATTGTTCCATTTTCAAAATCTCTTTGATTTTCAAGATGGAAAAAATGACAAAGAAAATGTACAATTCTTCATGGGGATACATGAAGAATAAAAATAGTTCTTCTAAAGAAACTGAAAACCAAAGTAATATAGATCACACACTGAAAAGTATAGCCCTAGTTCTGAAGTTTCAGAGATGAATTTATGAAAATCATTTCTACAAAATAAATCCAACTAAGTGCATAGTGCCAGATATGTAAACAAAAATAGGACTATCATTTCAGAGGAATACAGGTAGTCTTCAACTTACAACAGTTCATTCAGCAACTGTTCAGAGTTACAGCGGCAATGAAAAAAGTGACTTATGACCATTTTTCAGTTACTTTTGTAGCATCCCCATGATCATGTGATCAAAATTCATATACTTTGCAATTGGTTCATACTTATTGCTTTGTCCCAAGATCATGTGATCACCTTTTACAACCTTTTGATAAGCAAAGTCAATGGGGAAGCCAGATGCACATAACAACTGGGTTACTAACTTATCAACTGCAGTGATTCACTTAACTGTGGCAAGAAAGGTCGTAAAATGGGGCAAAACTCACTTAACAAATATCTCTTAAGGAAAGTTTTGGGCTCAATTGTAGTCGTTAAGTCAAGGACTACCCATACATGATCATGGAATTGACTTTAACAACATGGTATACACAGCTTCTTTTTTTAAAAAAAGCTTAGATTTTTTTTTAAATTTTCAGAATATTACTAAATAACCGTATTATGCTTCACATTTCAATCTTATTACGCCTCCAGCTCATTCAACTGCTTACTAATCTGCTGCAAAAGCAGATCAGAGCCTGATAGTACAGTGGACTAAAGCACTGTTAAGTAACACCAGCTGCCTGCAATTACTGCAAGTTCAAATCTCACCAGGCTCAAGGTTGACTCAGCCTTCCATCCTTTCAAAGGTAGATAAACTGAGGACCCAGTTTGTGGGGGCAATAAGCTGACTTTGGGTAATAAATAAAAAAATGAAGGCTATTGCTTAACGCATTGCGGCCCTGAGTCTCCTGAGAAGGGCGGCATATAAATTAAAAGCAAAAAAAAAACAAAAAAAGAAGCAGCAACCTCATTCACAAGTTCTACAAAGTATTGATGAGCCTTTGCGATGTCTGTGTATAACTGAAAGCAAAAAAAAACAAAAAACAAAACCCTACAGTGACCCCTTTATGTAAAAAGGAACTTTCCATACATTAATGCTTACTCAGAAGCAGCTCCTACTTAATTCAACCAGAATTTAGTTCGAGATGGCAAAGCCTGCCTAGAGTAGAAGTCGTATGAAGAGTTGACTTCGTAACTTTTCCTTTTCCTTTCCCATTGCCGTCAAGTCAGAACCTTCCACTTAAAAAGACCGACGGGTTCTCCGATACCGTCAGGCGGAGAAAACGATTTGCAAATGTGATTGATGTAGCTTGGGGGATTGTCAGAAACTGTTCGGCCTTCGCCCAAAATGGGGGAAGAGGAAGGCGGACGATTTTCAGAAAGAGACGGAACGGCGGCGGGGATGGGGGTGGGGGGAGAGAAGGTTCCCCAACCCCCGCTTTGCCAACAGAGAAAGCACAGACACATGGGACCGGAGACGGAAGGTAGATGAAAGGAGGAAGCTCCAACCGAGCGTACCCTGCTGAAACGGCGCGGGGAAGGCGAGCGATGCGAGCGATGGGAAAAGCGACGGCTAGGCGGGGAGCGGTGGTGGCGGCGGTGACCCCGCGGAGACGGCGAGCGGGAGCGTGGCCCACCCTCGCGATAGGAATCGATGGAGCCGAACCGGGACCGTTGAACTCTCATGGCCGGATGGCTGCTCTCGTGACGAGACATGGCGGGTAGCCTTAACGGCTTTAAGCGTCCACTCACTCCTTCTCCTCACTCCTTTTTTAAGCGTCTCCGGGCCATTTCCCCCCCCATCAACGAGACGCGTGCGCATGCGCACCGGGCTCAAACGCCGGATGTGCCGTTGAAGCTTGACAGCGGCTTCGTCCTTACAAAATGGCGGGGACAGAATTAGAATCACGTGGCGGGAAGGGGCGTGGTTGAAAGGCAGCGCTAGGAAAAAAGGCGCTGGAGGGAGGGGGCGGGGTTTGAAGCGTTAGGTATCTATTATTCGATGAAGAGAATCGATGATTGCCCTTCAGTTATCAAGCTGGCAATGATCAAGCCTCTGCAAGAACCCCAATCAAAACTTAAAAGGATTCTGCCCTCGTCGTACCATTACCAAAAGGGGGATTCCAAATGATCGCTTGCTGTAGTTACAGCCAGAAGAGGAGGAGCAATCAAAACGTCTACCTGTTCATTTTAGTGCAAGGAATATTAAGGGTTTTTCTTATGACAAATATATAAGACCTGGCTTGCGCGTAGTAGGAGAAAAGGTCTGCCCTAATTAGGTCTCATTAAATTGTTGTCCCTAGAACCGTGGGCGTTCGTGATCTGGTATGTTCTGCCCAATTAGGTTTATTAAATTTTACAATGCCAACCAGATGTAGGCATCTTTTTAAAGCTATCATAATGAAACTGAAACTTCAAGGAAAATTATGTCTTTTCATCATCCAGCGCACATTTAAATGCCAATAAGACCAATAGCTCAGGGTTGAATTGTGGAGTTTTTGGTGCTGTCTGAGCTAGGTTGTTTCATTGGGTAAACATCTGCAAGAAAACAACCAAGCTCAGAGGCGCCAAGGATTCCATATTTAAATGCCTCTGAGATTTCCCATCTATGGGGCCAACGTATGCAAGTTAGTACCGTGTTTCCCTGAAAATAAGACCCTGTCTTATATTTTTTTGCAAAGAGGCATTCTCCTTAGGTTGAGGTGTGCCATCATTTTGGAGGAAGCAAGTGGCTGTCAAAACTAGTAAATGGGATAATTGCCTATCATTTCTTGCTCCCAGCCTCTCTCCTTTTTGCTCACCTCAGTGAATCATTGCAAATGCTGGATTCCAGTTTTGGCTGCCTTTTGTGCATTTCATAATTTAGAGAGAATACTAGGCAACTTGTGACCCATTGGATCATCCTTTGAGAAAGGTAATGCAGTCTGATGTGACCAAAGCTTATATTAAATTTTAGGTTGACCGTATACAGTATTTCATGAGCTTTTTTGCATGAAAGCAGGAATTCCGACTTCCTGCTGCCTTCCCTGTTGATTTTGTTTATGGGAAGCTGCCAGGGCTTGTCAGAAATCAATCACATCAGGGATCCTGCAACAGCCCCAATTTTGTGATTAAAACTGGTCTGAATATCATGGAAATTTAAATTCCACAGGAATGATAGGTTCTGAGTTTTTAATGCATTTTTTAAGTTAAAGATTTTCAGGTACTGATTCAAAAATTATTGTGATACAATGCACTGTTTGGGCTAATATAAGGGTGTAAACAGATAAACAGCTAAACACATTTAGATTTTTAGTAGTATATAAATACACAATGCAAAATTACATTTAATGTTGCCCTGCCCCTATCCCTATTTCACATTATTCCTTTTATATCTTCTCTAAGAACTTTTAGGAACTCCTTCTTTGAATAGTTTTGCTTTACAAACTTTGATTCCCAAAGATTTATTTTCCTTTATCAGAACAGTCAAATTGCCTTGCTCTCTACAATGAAATTCATTGGGTCAGTATTAATGAAAGGTATCTCCTTAAAGCATTTGATTCTAAAAATACCACCTCATTGTATTTGTGTCAGAAGCACTGAGATGCTTCCAGGTTGAAAGGATTAGCCAGTGACATCACTGTTGCCCATGTCCAGTTGGGGGCTTTTTTCAGTTGGCTGGAGCTGGAGTGAAGGACAGGAGCTCACTTCATCACACAGCAGCATTTGGGTCTCAAATGCAGGCTTGCTAACCTCCAACCCAATGTCCTAACCACATGAGCCACCGTGCTCTTTAAAAATACCATGATAGCACTATATACCAAGCTGACATATATGTCTTAAATGGCAAGATTTATAATACAGAAGCAATAAACATATGGCTGCTTTCTCTTCTCAGTTTTGTGAAGCTGCTTGTTACACATGAACAGCTTTTCATCTCTCTGTGTATGTTTTGTGTCAAAACCACAGAGGCTCAATAGCTTAAAGATGCTGGAGGTGGTCTCTCCAGTGATTCGAGTCCTAGCACCATGTGGCAGAGTGAGCACCTGTCACTTGCCTCAGCTTCTGCCCACCTAGTAATTCGAAAACATGCTATACATGCGAGTAGATAAATAGGTACCACTTTGTTGGGAAACATGGCAGAATTTTGTGTGGATGGTCAGAGTCCTGCCAGTGCTGGACCTACTCAGATGCAATGATGACTGAGACATCGGTGGTGAAAGAAGGCCCCAGGTGATGCCACAAGAGGCCACTCAACTTTCTGGTACAGTACAGAGCTAGTTCACCCCCTGTGGTGCACTCTGGATAAGCGCATGAGCGCAAACTAAATGGACTAGCACTCTTCAGCAGCCAAATTACTACTATGTATTAACATTGTAGTCTCCTGGCTAATTGTACCATCAGAATACAATAAATAAATGTGTCAAAATTCCACCAAAAAGGCTTGCTCCAGTTTCTCTAGGCCTGACAGTTTATTCGATATATGTGAGCAAAACGGTATGAGTATTGAACACACATAAAATCTTCTTCATGAAACTTAAAAGATATAAGTTTTAAAGTACAGACATGGTGTAATCCTCCACATGATAGAAATATCTCTATTCAACTCCGATGCTATCACACCATATTATGATGATGGAGTCTATAGTCCAGGTGGAGATACAGAGGAAATGGAAAGAAACTTAAATCCCTGTTCAAAAGTTAATAGAGATAATAAATCTATCCATTTCTCCCAGGTTTTTTTTTCTGAAAATATATCAAATTCATTTTCAGTTTCTCATTTTATAGAATGTATTGAACTTGATTCATTAAGAATATTCGCTAAGATTTCTATGCATTTGGGGACACGTTTTGCCAAATGTATATATACTTACACATTTTTAAAGTAATAGTATATATCTGTACTTACACAGTTTTAAAGTAATATAGTTTTGCATATTAGTTTCAAAGGGATGTGGTGGCTCAGTGGCTAAGATGCTGAGCTTATCAATCGAAATGTCGGCAGTTCAGCAGTTTGAATCTCTAGTGCTGTGTAACAGGGTGAGCTCCCGTTACTTGTCCAGCTTCTGCCAACCTAGCAGTTCGAAAGCACATAAAAAATGCAAGTAGAAAAATAGGGACCACCTTTGGTGGGAAGATAACAGCGTTCCATGCGCCTTCGGCATTTAGTCATGCCAGCCACATGACCACGGAGACATCTTCGGACAGCGCTGGCTCTTCGGCTTTGAAACAGAGATGAGCACCACCCCCTAGAGTCGGGAATGACTAGAACATATGTACAAGGGGAACCCTTACCTACTTTTAGTTTCACAAATACACACATTTTTACTGGCTTTTGTAGTATACGTGTTCTAGGGGCAAATTGCATTGCAAAATCCAGAGAATTGCATTTCTAAAAACTAACTAAACTATGTTAGTTACTATGTTTAGGCTTAGTTATTCAAAAGGCTTAAATTTAGGGGGGGGGGAAGCTACCAGATGTAAAGGATTTTGGTTTACTTACATTTAATATTTTAAGGCTAAGCTCCAAATATTTGGAAATTATTTTTCATTTTAAATTGCATCCTTTTCTTTTAAATTATAACCAAATGAGGTTCTTTCTAAAAATATGTGCAAATTTTTTGAGTTCAGAGTAGCTATATTGGATTTGCCTGAAGTGGGAATCAGCTTTGTACTCGCTATCCTTTATTCAAACATGATTTTTACAAGATAAACTTGGAAGCAACCCATTTTTATCCCACTTCCTCATGAAACAGTTAAGAGTACCATACAATAATTTTCTAAAAAATATGCATATAAAAGTTTAATTTGTTGTATAAAAAGTATAGAAGAAAATTAGATGTTTCTCCCTAGATTTTGTTTCTCAAAGGCACATTTATAGTATCCTGACCAGTGGTGGGTTGCTATCGATTCGCCCAGTTCAGCAGAACTGGTAGTTGCGGTGCGGGAGGTTCCGCCCATCTGCTCAGACATCATTAAATACACTCTGCGCATGTGCAGAAGTAGCATGCGTGTGAGCGTGCATGAGCGAATCAGTAACAGGTAAGTGAAACCCACCACTGATCCTGACTAGCCTTTGGGCTAAATTGCACCCAATTCTGCCACCAATTACTTCAGTTTGTGATTCTATCTAGACACTTGGAATAAAAAAGTTTTTTACATGGAATAACCTATGGCATGATTTCTGTCCTACTTCAGTTTTCCCCTTCATTTAGCAGATTAGCAGGATAACAAGAGTTGAAAGGGACCGTGGAGGTCCTGTAGTCCAACCGCCTGCTCTCAAGCAGAAAACTCTATACCATTTCAGGCAAATGGTATCAGAGCACCCAAACTTCTGGAGGCTAGTCGTTCCATGATAAATTGTTCTGTCAGGAAATTTGTCAGGAAGTTCTAGGTAGCTTCTCTCCTTGATTAGTTTCTATCCATTGCTTCTTGTCCTGCCTTCTGGTGCTTGGAAAATAGGTTGATTTGAATCTCTCTTTTTTGTGCCATCCTCTTAGATTTTGGAATACTGCTATGTCACCCTCTAATCCTTTTTTTCATTAAACAAAGAAAAAAATAAAACTAAGAATACTCAATTCCTGCAATTGTTCCTCGTTATGTTTTAACCTCCAGTTCCTTAATCATCTTTGTTGCTCTTCTCTGCACTAGAGTCTCAACATCTTTTTATAACATGGTGACCAAAACTGGATACAATTTCTAAATGTGGTCTTACCACGACATGAACATTTCATGTGATACTAACACTTCACGTGACCTCGATTCTATCCCTCGGTTAATGCAGCCTAGGACTGCGTTGGTTTTTTTAACAACTGCAGCATATTTTCCTGATTTTTGTACTATCTAATCCAATATACTTCTGGATCACTTTAGGGCTTGATCCATACATTGCTCTAAGCAA